GTTTAGGATGCTAATTGCCCAATCCTGTTATCTAGCACAAGTGCCTTCAGGGAAGCGCCACGGTTCCCAATAAAAACACCGGATTGGAACAAGCGCCAATAAAGTCACCTATTCCTCTCCCTCCCCAATCCACCCCCCCCCCCCCTCGCCCTTTTGCTTCGTTTTTCCGTATAGGAAAACGAGGAAAATAAGAACGATACACCTAAAAACAAGCGGGAGTATCAGCATGACAGAAGCCATACCAAAAAAGTTCCCAGTTTCCAGCGGTGTTTTGCTCACCCCGGGCACGGCGAGCAAGGCGAGAAGAGGTCGGGTGCTAAGCAGTTCCCATTAAACAAGGGAAACCATCTCGGGAGAGATTTCGTTTTGTAAATTCGCTTGCTTCATTCCTAACCTGGAGCCTGTATATTTCATCCAGAAAGAAAGGAGAGGGAGAAAGGAATAAGAAACGAAAGAAACTTTACTGGTTTCCCGTTTTCAGCCCCAGAGCTTGCCAGCATGTGGATTAGAATCAAGTCCTCGCTATGGTACAGTGATTAAAATACCACCAAGTATGACAGAAACGTAAACACAAACCGTTCATTGCTGGGAGATAAATAAAGAGCTAATTATCTCATTCTGCCATCTCTCAAGGAAAGCGGGATCTCACTCTCAGTGTGGGACACACACTCGTCTCCTCAAACCTCAGCAACATCCCAATACCCAAACCCTTCTGCAAAAGAAAAGGGAGGAAAAAAAAAAAAACAGCAGCTCTATTTTTCTTTTCATATTTCCATCAAAACAATGAGATCGAAAGTAGGCTAGGGGCTGCCCGGGGGTCTAATAAACACATCACTTTTTTAAAAAAAAAAAACTTTTTTTTTCTTTCGCACGGTTGCGTTTGGGAGCAGGGAAAAAAAATTAGTGATCCTACCTGTAGGATCGGGGGGGGACAACGTGAAACACAAATGCACCGGTATTTGTGCGTGCTTTTCCTAGGGCGGGGGTTGGGGGGGGGGGTTGTATCTTCGCGTCAAGCACCGGGGCTTTGGGAAAATGTCGTGTGATTGGTAGAGCAAACTAATTTTGTCAGGCTGAATGTGCCGATGTCCCAGGGCTAAGGCGCCTTGCTCCCTTGATGCGGGTTAACGTCCTCAATAGTCCCCCTCCAGCTGAAGCCTTTGATCCGACCGCTGCTGGCGCCTAAAAACAACATCACTTGTCTGCCTATTAGAGGCACTGACTAATCGTGACAGATTGTTTATTCTCGCAATTAGCAATGCAGCCGCTTCTCCGAGCACTGCCCCCCTATCCCCTTTACTCCCCCCCCCCCCAACCCCGGCCCCAAGCCCCCAGCCCCCGACCCCCAGCCCACGGCCCGACAGCGGCTGCGGGATGCACTGGGGCTGCCCGGTGCATCCCTCTGTATGCACAGCACAAGGTCTGCGTGTGTATGGTGGGCAAGAAACACGCGTGGATAATGCATACGCGTGGGTTGGGTACACGCGTGGATAGGGCATACACGGGGCGCCATCTCCAGCAAGAGGGCTGCGGGTGTCGTGTGCTTGCGGGACAATTCACTGCAACCAGATCCCGTTGTTTATCAGCCAATAAAACGTCTATGATATCAATTCATTTCATACTGTATACGCTCCTAATCTCCCATCTTTATTGGGGCCGGCTAAAAGGAAAGGGAATTCGCTGTCCCTCCCCGTTTAGATAATTACCCTTAAATGACTGCGAGAGCCTCCTGTGTTTCCAGGAGATTAGAGCCCTGCAGCTATCAATAAACTTTTCCCAGCGAGCGGCCAATCGCCTCAGTAGAGAGCGGCTCCCTTTTACTGCACATCCGTCCTGGGCGCGGGGATAAGGGCTCGTAAACCAAATTTACAAAACAAAATAGCCCGGACTTTAATGGGGCCGGGGCTTAGATGTGCCTTTTTTTAGGGGAATTAATATTTCATGGCCCGGAGACACGCACGCATCCGTGCCAGGGGTTGTGTGCACGTAGGCGCACACGGGCGCGGAGCACCAAAAGAAAAACAAAAGAAGAAAAAAAAAAAAAACGAAATAAGCTTTATTTTATTATTTTTTTCCAAGGTGTAGCCAGCCCTAGAGACACAGGGGGCTAACGCAGAGCTCTCACACCCGGCACGGTGCCATGTCGGGGGGTCGCAGGAAGAAAATCCCAGCCTCACTCCTTCCACCGGTGTTTCCCCGACGTTAGCAAGCCCTTTCCCGATGCCCGAACCTCCGTCCTGTTCCGTCCCATCCCCTTCTCCCGGGTTATGCCCCGCTCCAGCCGCCGGCCCAGGCCTTCTTCACCCGCGGGTGGGAGCCGAGCGAGGCGCCCCGCACCGCCCCGACGGCGGCCGAGCCCTCTCCCCTCCCTCCTCCCGCCCCCTCCCCGCCGTCGGGGCCGCGGCCTCAGCCAATGGGGATCCTCGTCCCGCCCCCCCCGCCCTCCGGTTGGGCGGTGCCGCCTCCCGCTCCCCTTTATCAGGGGGCGCCGCCCGCCGCGGGGCCGGACCGCGCCGACGGCTCCCGCGCCCCGACGCCGCCCCCCATGAGCCGCGGCGGCCGCCCCCGCGCAGCACGGCGGCAGCGGACCCCCTCTGCATGGCCCCGGCTGCGGACATGACCACCGCGCCCACCGGGGTCCGCAGCGACGAGCCGCCCGCCTCCGCCTTCGCCAAGCCTGGCGGTGGCCTCCCCGTCGCGGCGGCTGCGATGGGCGGAGAAGAGGAGAGCGACAAGCCCAAGGTTTCGCCTTCCCTCCTGCCGTTCAGCGTGGAGGCACTCATGGCTGACCGCAGGAAGGCGCCGGGAGGCAGGGAGGGCCCGCTCGCCGGCCCCGAGGGCAACGGGGTCCCGGCGGCCGTCGGAGCGGCCGCCCGAGGGAGCCTCAGCCCCCGCCTGGGCGCCCCGACGGCAGAGGCGCCGGCGTCCCCGCTGCCCCTCGGCGGCCACTTCGCCGTCGGGGGGCTGGTCAAGCTGCCCGAGGAAGCGCTCGTCAAGGCGGAGAGCCCCGACAAGCAGGAGCGAAGCCCCTGGATGCAGAGTCCCCGCTTCTCGCCGCCCCCACCCAGTAAGTAGCGGGACCCCGACGGCGTGGAGGGGGGGTGGGAACGCTGCGGGGCCGCCCGGGGCTTTCCTCTCCTCTCCGGCCTCTCCCGGAGGGGCTTTCCCGGCGGGTCGCGCTCTCTGCCGGGCCACTTGGGCGTTTCCGAAGGAATGAAACGCTTCAGATGTCGCCGGAGCCCGGCCAGTCCCGGCGGTGGCTTCAGAGGCGAAGGAAGAGCGGTCGCGCCAGGGCTGTTTCTTGTGCCAAAAGTTGGCCGGGGAGGGGAAGGAAAAGCAGAAAAGAAAACACCAAAAGCCGGCCTGGGTGCCTCTTAGCTGCTCTGGGGGCGCGAAGCGACCGTGCGCAGTCTGCGAGCAGGACTTAGCCTCGGCAGGGAGTTTAGTGGTTTTTTTTGTTTTGTTTTAGGGATTTTATATATATATATATATATTTTTTTTTTCCTGAGAGCAGCTCTCCTTATTTTGTAAGGACGCGCACAGATTGCGGTCCCGGATGCAGCGGCTTCGGACTTGTTTGGGCTTCGGCCCCGCGGGCTGCTCTCTGCGGCGTTGTTATTTCGGCAGTCCCGAGAGCCGCAACACCCGAATGTTTTGCTGCTTTACTCCGGAGAGATCCCAAATTCTCAGAAACACGAGCAAGAATCACACGAGCAGAAAGTCCCGTGCATCCCCTGTGCTCAGCCTGGTGGAGCGGCAGCCTCCGGCTTATGCAGCCCGATAGAGCCCGTCCCGGGCCGCGTCCTGTCCCCAAACCGCTCCCGTTCCTGTGGGAAGGGCTCAGGCTGAGGCTCCGCGAAGCTTTTGGGGTACTCTTAGAGCTGTAAGCAGAGCTGCCTACTCTTTTGGAGAAAGGAAGACTTCCTGAAAGGACTTGCGGACAGAACCTCCGTGGTTTTATTTACTTAAATTGCAAAGTACAAGTTACTTTTGCTAAGTAAACCCGGGCCAATTGAGGCTGAGGACCCTTAGAAATCTCGAATAAGAGGAGAGGAGCAGGCTGGTGAAGAGTTGTAGAAGCTGAGTGCTAATTCCAAGCTCATAATTAATTGCATGCTTAATCTGGTTCCCAGGGGCCTAATGAAGAGGGTGTGAGAGTAAGAAGCCTGCTAGTTTTGTTTATTTTTTTCCCTTAATCCAGTCAAAAGGACAACACATATATATATTTTTTGAGGGGTCATTCTCTTAATTTGTTTGTGCTGCTAATGAGAGGGGAGCGGTGAAGTGAAGGCAGAGGGGGTGTGAAGAACCCTGTGCAGTGGTTTGTTTTGGAGCTGCAGGGCTCCTGGCAATGAAGCACAAGTGGCTGTGAGTGACTTTGGTCCTGGGAGCCTTGAAAAAAATTAGTGAAACACCCGTCGGCCCTACAGCAAGGGGAGATGTCAATTTGAAGCATGCCCCAGGCAGGGAGGACCAAGGCGCTGGAGTTTTTGGGCCACTTTACTTTGGGGGGGACCTCACTGTCCCTGCCCCCACTGCTGCAGGGTGGGGGCTCTGCGAGGTGAGCGTGTCCGGGTGCTGCTAACTGAGCTGTCTCTCTCCTTCCCTGCTTCTCCTCCTGCTGCTGTCGGCGCAGGGCGGCTGAGCCCCCCAGCCTGTACCCTGCGCAAGCACAAGACGAACAGGAAGCCCCGGACGCCCTTCACCACAGCGCAGCTGCTGGCCCTGGAGAGGAAATTTCGGCAGAAGCAGTACCTGTCCATTGCCGAGCGTGCCGAGTTCTCCAGCTCACTCAGCCTCACGGAGACCCAGGTGAAGATCTGGTTCCAGAACCGCCGTGCCAAGGCCAAGCGGCTCCAGGAGGCCGAGCTGGAGAAGCTGAAGATGGCAGCCAAGCCCATGCTGCCACCCGCTGCCTTCGGCATCTCCTTCCCGCTGGGCGGCCCGGCTGTGGCCGGTGCCTCCTTGTACGGTGCCTCCAGCCCTTTCCAGCGGGCAGGGCTGCCTGTGGCTCCCGTGGGACTGTACACGGCACATGTGGGATACAGCATGTACCACCTCACATAGAGCTGAGCCCTGCCCAGCCTGCCGGCCCCGCACATGCTCCCTCCCTGCTCCTCCAGCTCTGTACCCTCGCTGCGGACTCCCCCACAGGCCTTGTGGCAGAGACTTCTCCAGTCTGGCTCCATTTCTCCCGTCCAGTCTTGATCTGCTCTCCATGGCCGTCCTGGGAGCTGCTTCATGCTCTGGCTGGGAAAAACCTGAGGCATCGCCCCAGCTGCTCCCCGGCGCTGGGTGGCCATGGGTCAGCCCTGCGCTGCTTCCCCCTGGCCCACCTGGCAACCTGGGGAAAGCCCCTGGCATGGGGGAAGGAACTGTGGAAGAGAAACGGCAAAAAGGGGGCTTGAAAGAACTTTTCTCTCACTTTCTGCAAGGCGAGGTCAAGAGGCAGAAGCGTAGAGCCGCCTCCCGTGTCCCTGTGTAGCAGCACTGGCTGTTACCTGTGTTTGTTCCTCCACCGGCTCCTGTGGAAGGGGCTCTGTGTACTATGTAATATACTGTATATTTGAAATTTTATTATCATTTATATTATAGCTATATTTGTTAAATAAATTAATTTTAAGCTACTGTTGTTTCACGCAGCTTCTTTGCTCCTTACCCTGCTGGGGGATGACACAGGACTAAGTGTGTCTGTGTGTCATGGGGACAGGAGAACGGGACCGGCCGTACCAGAAACTTTTATTCCTTCCTTGGCTGGGCTCTCAGTTTGCTGTGTGCCCTGGAGCAGCCTGGTACGATGCTTCGAGGGCTGGTTCGAGGTGGAAATTTCTTCCTATAGACCCCAGCCCCTGCGCTGTAACCCCTGCTCTGGGGCTGTGGATACCGGGGTAGCATCAGCCTGGCCCTGCCGGGCATCCCCAGCCAGAGTCGGGAGGAGCTCCCAAGGCTGGGAAGAACCCCAGGGCTTCCTTCCTTCAGGAGAAGGGAGCACGGTGGGCTTTGGGGCGATGAGATGAAGATGGGGCTACCGCGGCTGGGGTGGTGCGGGAAAAGGAGCAGAGGGGACGGGGCCGTTAAGAGCCGGCGGGTAGGAACGGGGCTGTTCGGGGACACAGCAGCCAGGGGAGGGACCCGCCGCCCGCGGGGCTCGCGGTCGGGACCGCTCGGCGCCAGCTCCGGGCCCCTCGCAGCCCCCAGAGCCCGGCCCCGCTGGAAACCCGTCCCGGTCACTGCGGCCGTGCAGAAACCGCCGGCCACAGCCGAGGCAGTTCCGTGCCGTGCCGGGCTGTGCCGTTCCGCACCGCGCAGCGCCCGCCGACCCCGGCAGCACCGCTTCCCCCCGCCGGCTTCACCCCCAGAGTCCCCTCATTGCCCCCCTAAACCTGATTTTGTTTGGAGGGTTCTTAGGCTAGGGGAGAGGGTGGATTGGTGGATTTTCCTCGTTATTTTCTACTTTCGTGCTTTATCTTTACGTGCTGGGAATGGGCGCTGAGAAATTGGGACTCTTTATATTTTTTTTTTTTTTCCTTTTTCTTTCTTTCTCTCTCTCTCTTTTTTTTTTTTTTTTTTTTTTTTTTTTTTTTTTTTTTCGCTGCTTTCATTTCCAGCAATTTAAAACGTTAAGGTTGAAGCAAAGTTAGAAGGAAAATAATTGCTGTAATGAGGCTAGGCAATCTTCTGCAGGCACTGTGGCTCCAGCGAGACTGTAGCTGGGGGCGAGGCGGGACTTTTATCATCTCCTAAATATCAATGATGCTTTCAATAACTCAGCGAAACAACATACCTGAACCTAGTCACTTTCTCCAGAGCTCGCTGCTCTAATCCCCCTCTTCTCATCTCTCGCTCCGCGCTGGCCGCCCAGTCCTGGCTGGGCTGGCGTGAGTTTTGTTTTTTTGTGTTTTTTTTTTTTTTTTTGTCTGGCTTTTTTTTTTTTTTTTTTCTTTTCCCCGATCATTTCTTTTCTGTGTGCGAATGACTGTGTCTGTGATCCTGACCCCAGCGCCCAACGCCGCGCCGGACTAGGAGAGCGCGGTGCCGGCTTTTTTCCCACGTTGCGTCTGCCGCAGAAAAGGCTGGAGATAAACTTAGCCTCTGAGCGATTAGACCGCGGGTTTGGGGAGAAGATCTAATCGCACAGAAGGCCAGGTTTATCCTGCAAAGAAGCTCTTAAAAAATAAAAATCAAGTAGAGTTGAAGTAGCGAGCACCGCCGCGAACTGGCTCCCCGCAAGCCCCTCTCCCCTTCGCCGGCACCTTTGGGCGCTGCGGGCACGGCAATGCGGGGCTCCGAGCTTGCTGGGATCCTTTAATCTTTCCGCTTTGTCTGTATTTACTCCCCCCCCCCTTTTTTTTTTTTTTTTTTTTTTTTTTTTACATTATGTCAACTCGGGATGGATATTCGAAGCGCAGGATTCCTATTGAACGTGTCTTTGCTTTAAGATTTCCCCCTGACCCTTGGGCTAAAGTCCTTGGTTGCTCAATTAAACCCAGATGAGAACAATTAATAACTAAGTAATGACAATAAGTTGGGAATCACACGGATGAACGCTCCATGTGAATAGGAAAAGCTCACACAAAAGAGCAAAAAGGATTTGTCGGCTCTTTTTAAGGGGGAATTGGCTTTTCTTTTTTCTTGCCTCTGGCTTACCAGCAAATAAAACTCACTTTTGTGTCTTTGTCGCCTTAAGGAGCTCAGTGGGCAGTTGGAAGTGAGAATGGCTGTTTTCCTTTCAACTTGAGGGTGCTGGCGCCACGCAGCCCCAAGGATAGAGAGTAGCCAAAGCAAAGTTTCCTAATAACTCCCTCTCCCCCGCCCCCCCCCCCGCCCCCCTCCCAGTCACTCTGATACCCCCCCTCCTATCTCCACACACTCCGAGAGAGCCTGGGCAGACAGGCGAGAGAAAACAGAGGGGCCCCGAGCACATACGTGTAACACACACACACTGATGCGCCGGTTTCCACGGAGGGAAGGAAATTCAGGGCACGGGAGCCAGAGCACGGCGAGTGTGCAAAATACATCCACACCAACCGAGGAAGCCATTTTTCTACTTTTATTCCCACAAATTAGCCCGGTTGTAGAGTTTGGCCGGAGGCTGTGCGCCTGAAACCAGCTTCTTCGGGCACTTTTGCCCGCAATCGGCTCTTTGCATCCTTGCGCTCCCAGGAGCCCGGCTGCGGGGCGCGGGCAGAGGGGTGGGCAGCCGCGGGTTGAGAGCCTCAAAAGGAAGGGAAGACTCTTCTTGTTAACCCCAGAGAACACAGCTGCTGGAAAAACCTGCTAAGCAAACCTTCGGTGAAACCACGGCTTTGTTGTCTGCTCTGAATTCCTGGGAGTTTCGGGCTCTCCGGCAGAATTTGCGATTTGACTCGAAACGCAGCCCGGTGCCCTGTTCCCTTTGATGCTTTATCTCGCGATTTCCACAGTGCTCAAGTGAATTAGGAGCTAAAAGCCCATTTTGAAAAAGTGAGGGGAGGCTAAATTCAGCGAGAGAGTTGGGCAGAGCAGTAGCAGCCTCCTGCTGCTCAGGATTGTGCCTGGGAACACAGCCCTCAGCCAGCAGAAGCAAAGCAGGGAGCTGCCGAGCCTTGCCCATTGTAAAGGCCGGGAGGGGGGGGAGGGGGGGGCAACCTGCTCTCAGCTCCTCACCAGCTTAAAGCCAGGTTCATCATTTGACCTGCGTCCCCTCACATCAGCCGTTCCTCCCAAAGGGCTGGAAACTGAAAGGTGTGCTGAGCAAAGCGGCCAGACACCCACAGAAGAAGGGGCGCTGACCCCCTGGTGCCTCCCTGTTTCAGGTAAACATCTGCACTCAGATATTTCGTAACCAGGGTGAAAATCCCAATCAACGATTTATTAGTGACTCAGAGATAGTTGCTCTTCATCTCTCCTCACGATATGTTTGGTTTTATATTAGACACGGAGGTGGCCAGAGACAGCAAGAAAAAGTGGCCGCCTAAAGAGCCTCGTGGTCAGGACACTCCTCGGAGCCGCAGGGCAATCCAAATTAAATCCAGCAGAGCAGTGACTGGGAAGTAAGGCTCCCATTGCTTGAGATATCCTATACTGTACCCAATGAGCTGTCGGATGTGACGAGGTGGTTCTCTTCCCTCCCTAGTTTTCCACAAAAGCAGGCTGATGTGGCTTAGGCACTCAGCTGCCAGAGAGTTTGTGGCAGAATGAGACACCTTCTCGCTGCCTAACACAGCATGGGGGCCCAAAAGTGTGTATATATGTGTGTGTGTGTGTATATATTCTAACCCAGGGAGCCTGTGGATTTCTGAAGTTCCCATTCCTTAGCTTTTAACTCTACCCACACCTTGTGTGAAGCACAGTGGTGTCTGTCCCTGGCCGGAGCAATCTGTTCCGCAGCAGGGAGCCCAAAAATGAGGCACAGCGATAACGGGCATCCCAACCCACAACTCCCAGGGGCTGGCCCGAGGCCCCTCTGCACCATGTACCCATTGTCTGCCCAGCTCTGGGGCAGGAGAGCCTGGCGGCAGTGCCAGAAGCAAGAGCTCTGAGTCATTTAACTACGAGTAGTAAATCGCAAAGGAGAGATGTGGTAGTGATTTGCTTACAGCAGTAAATCGGTCGACGCTAACTCCGCTTCATTGTACTTCTTCATGGCAGAGATCTTTTATTGCTTGAAGCTGGCCCTGCTTCCCACCCGGCCAGGATCAGAGGGAGAACAGGAAGGGGAGCTACTTGGAGTCGGTCCCCCTCGGGACACCAGGAATGTGCAGCAAAGCCACCGTGCAAAGCTCCCCATTTCATCTCTGGGCACTGCTGAGGACCCCACCTCTGGCTGCTGTGCTGTGGGGTCTCAGCTGATTCTCATGATGGTGCAAGCATTCATAGAATATCTTCTGCCTTAGCACTGAGGAAAAGAAACAAACCTCTTCATCAGGCTCACAGGATAATCAAAACTGCTCAGTTAAATAGTACTGACTCTGGCCTTGACAGTAAGATTGACCTTGTGAAGGAGTTTGTAGGAGCAATGTTCAAAATCTGAGACTGATTCTGTGTCCAGAATCCACCCTGGAAGTTGGGGCAGACAATGGGACAGTGGGGTCAGGGTGATCAACAGGACTGAGATCAGGGGACACAGGCATGAAAAGATGTAGACCAAAGTAAACGTGCTTTCAGCCTAATTGAGCAATGCTTTTGTTGTAGGTGTCTTGTGTCCAACACCAGGCAGGGCGGGATGTGCACTTGATGTACTTTGGAGAAGGAGGTACCCTGTGACAACAAATACATTCAGGAGCCTCTGACCACCACTGTTCCTGCCTGGTGGAGGGCTAGAATGAGAAGGAGCATCCAGGGGAGGTAGGATTTAAAGATTTTGCCATTACTCAGGCTCATTTTGCATGCAGGAGAGCAAAGACGTGGCAGCTGGAGAAGAGGACTGGTAGCAAAGGATGACAAACTTATGTTAACTAGAAGACTACAAAATGGTGTGGGGAAGCTCTCAGGATGGGAGGAAAAGAGAATTATTTCCAAAAGGCAAGCTGGAGGGAAGAAATAACTTTCCTTTGATCCAATGTTTTGTGTGCATTGGGTATTATTATGCAAATAACAGCTAACTTAAATACAGAAATGATGTTGGGATGCTTTAAAAATAAGGGGTCTTGCACTGTAGACACATTTACATCAGCAAAGTACTGGAAGAGACTTTCTGGGGTTCCTAGACCTGCCCTCTTATTAACTCAGGCTCATGTGCAGTAGTCTTGGGGAGCATCTGCTCCTCACACTTTACTAACTAAAAGCCATGAATGCTTTTCAGAACCTTGTAATGAGCTTTGGACTTACTGTGAAAACCATATCCATGGTAAACCACAATAAGAGACATTGGGATGTCATGGATGTTGTCAGTCTGACCGAAGACTTTTCTTTCCGTGACGTTGTCAATCCTCCCTTTGGGTAGAGGGCTACATAAAAAATATGCATTAAATTCTATTTGTAAAACAGAAAGTAGGGTTACAAAATATGATACATGTGCTGTGGGGCTGGAATAGGCATGGAGAGAAACACAAGTCGGCATACTCGATTCAACACTTTAAGCATGAATTGCCTTGAATTAATTACTTCCCCTGGAGGCACCCACCTGAGTGTGCAGATGCTGCAGGTTACTGAACGGAGATGTTCCCAGCTGCCACTTAGCTGGGAACCTAAATACAAGTTCTCTGCAAGACCCTCATCAGCTGAGAGGCAGAAGGCAGCGTGATTGTATTGGATAAAAAACGTATCAGTATAAATTGCAATTCAAATAGCAACTTTCTTTAGTGCTCAGCACAGCTCAGACGCTTTAGCCATATCTTAATTGTGTATCCAATATCTATGTTCAGAAAGCTTCGACGTGAGCTTTTAATTCAGAATTTTAATTTAGACATTATTCAAAGGAAGATTGGCAGCATCTTTAGTCAAAAGAGATTTGAGGGTCATTTCTTAACAGAAATGTCATTAACTGCATTTTTTTCAGCTATGATACCTGAATTAGGATGAACCTAACATCCTTATTAGCTCAGAGTTCAAATGAGGATCTTTAGTCAGCCTTCCCTTTAACTCAAGAAGCTTGGTGCAGGCACGTTAATTTTCCCTGTAAATAATCACATCTTTCAAGTACATACTCAACATCAATCCAAGTTAAAAAAAAAAAAAAAACTGGAGAGAAAATAGAAAGCTGCACAGAACATATAATAAAACGAGAAAGTTGAGATGGACTCGTAATCCTAAACTATTCTTACTTTTTAAAACACAGGGCTGAATTTCTTAAAATGTGAATTGTTTTCCCTTCCTCCAAGATGGCTTTAATACCAGCCAAGTTTGAAGTTTCTAATGACATTTATTTCTGAGCTATGTATGTTTGAGAATTTCACTTGGATAGTTGGAGGCTGTGATCTTTTTCAAGCTTGTATAATGTTTAACATGACTGAACTGATTTTCAAAACAAAGAAATGCAAAAGTATTGAAAAATGCCCAGAACAAGAATGGGCATTTCCATTCCATAAGGAATCTGTTTGGAAAAAATTATAGAAGAGTTATTGGAATTAGAATCTAAGTTTATCTTAAGTTTTCTGGAAGGGAAAGTTATATTATATGAGACAATTAACCATTGGCTTCGGGTCTGGTCCAAAGCCCAATAAAGTCAGTGGCGTCTTTCCACAGGCAAACTAACAGACTTGGGTCTGACTCATAAACTGTAGAGCTCCACAGAAGATAATAGTTCTACACTGCTTATGTGAAAGTTAAATATAGCCCAGTGTTTGTGAGTGTGTGTATGTATTATGATTAATTTAAAACCCCAGTTAAGATTGGGTTACGGTTTCCATTTAATTCATATGCATGTGTTTGTATTTGTGTGCATGTACACGTAAGGGCAGACATCTGTGAATGTGTAAGCACACATACAGCTAATGGCATGGAGATGATTGACTCAAGTATATACATATGATGGTAAATATCAGCGTTTACTGCAGTAGATATCACTGCTGCAATGTATATACCCTGACAGATCTGAACATACAGTTTCAGAAACAGCAGCATCTGTTTACATTGAACTGCAATAAAAACTGAAGGAGGCATCAGTTAGTATTAGAATTTTATCTTTTCAATGTCCAGAAACAGTTTCTGTGCCTTTGATGTAGGCTGTCAAGCACTACTGGAAAATTGCATCTCTCTAATTACTGCATTCAGCACAGAGGAAAGGGCACGACTGCCTGGCAGCATTTGTCAGTGGGGACCCTGCAGGGACTTGCTTTTTGGGTACTGATAACTAAAGTTAGCTCGCATTCAAAAAAAACAGTAAAGCAATCCCTTGCACAAAGGGATGAAAAAAACAGAAGGGGCACTATTTTGGATGGTCTTGTAGAAAGTAATACAGCTCTTGTCTGTTCCAGATATGATTAACCCTTATCTTTACTGGCTGCTCCCTTCAGACAGAGCCCCCATGAGAGTTTAGCCTGAATATAAACTGAGTGACAGCAACACCACTGTTTACACAGGGACATGCAGGTTCAGGCCTGCAGTGAGCACCTGATTAACCTGCAAAATGGTTGTATTGTGCCTGATGAGGGGGCTTCATATTTGGAGGCATTTAGAGCTGGTACTGGCTTATCTACTCGGTCTTAAACCCCTGTTCTTCATTTCTCCCCTTAGGTGACAGAGGATCCTCTTGGCTACGTGTCACAAAGCATATTACCACATTTTAAAGCTGGATCGGGTGCCTGATGACATTTAGAGCTGTGACCTTGCTGATGGATGTGGTGGCAAAACAGAGGCTGCAGGGAGGGATGGTTAGAAATCCATAGGGGATTGAAGCCTGTAAGGTGACAATGCCACCAAGAGGAGAGTAGCATTTTCCCTTTTGCAAAACTCTTTATTATGAGAAGGATCTCTCTCTCTTTCTTTCTCCTACTTTTTTTTTTTTTTTTTTTTTTTTTTTTTTTTTTTTTAATCTAATTGCAACTGGGAAATAAGGGTTTACTCAGGTTTGTTTGTTTTTTTCCTCCATGTGAGCAGAAAGAAAGCATTTATATACTTCACATGGTACACACATGAAAAAAATGTCCAACTGTTGACAGTGTGCATTCTGTTTGTGCACCCAGAAGAAAAATTTGCTGAAATAATTGCAACTTTTTGTAATTTTCCTACCATGCTGTGGTAGCATCCAGAGTAGAAGCACTTCCAGGAGATCTGCACAAGAGCCATATACAGCCAGAGGGGAGATAGTTTGCTGAGAAGTGAGTCCAAGAATAGAAGCCAGATATTTGCAGGGGAAAAAAAAAATAAAAAAGGGAAAATAGCCAGCTGGCATGGAATGGAGCCAAAGTGACCAAAGCAATCACAGTATCTTCCACAGTATCACAGTACCTGCCAAAGTACAGGTGGAGGGAGGGAGGCGAAGAGCTAGAAACACATCGCTAAAGATGCAGCTTGCCTTGAAGAGCAGCAAGAACTGTGCAAAAGACACTGTGTGCATTGTATAGTGCCTGGCAGCAGCATTTATTTAGTATGGGCAAAATAAGTGGGGCATGGGCATGAACATAAACATTGGCAAACAAACTACTTTACCGGCAATTTGTAAGGAGAACTTCCAGAGTGCTTACTGCATCCACAGCCCGGCCCAGGGGGACTGAAGTGTTTATGCATATTTTAATGACAGGCTCTAGGAAGGGCTGAAGAGCTCAAAGGTTATCTAATATAAAGTGCAGTGTTCTGAGTGTGGTACAAGGCTTTTTTAATTTAGCCATAAAGGTGCCTTCCTCTCACTTACTGAGCACACTGGGCATCTGAGCATCTGTCTCAGGTGCTCTGCTCTAAAACACCTTAAGAAAAGAAAAAAAAAATTTTTTTTTTTTTTTTTAGGCAGCACAACATCTGTATTTGGTGTCCAAAGAAGGTCATTGATTGCAACCATGTTTTTTTCATTTAACTATTTCCTGTGTACACTTATTGAACTTAAGAAACAACTCAGAGAAACTCTAACATGAAGAGAATTATACTGTGTTCAATTCATCTTTCCACTTTATTCTACCTCAACATTCATTATCTTTCAATTATACTCCTGTCCCACTGCCTGTTTTTGAACCCATACTTTTGTTCATGCAGTTATTATTGGATATATAGTTGTTAGAACATCCAGTAACATGTAATTGCTTTTTACTATGTATTAATTTGCCTTTTCTTCTAGATAGGAATTTGTATGTGTTATATTTGGCTCCAGTCCTGCAAACAGTTGTGCCCATGAATAACTTTACCCACATTAGGAGCTCTACGGGTCACAGCTTCTCTCTCACCCGCTGAATTCTGTGAAGTTACTCATGCAGTTAAATTACGCATAAACGTATGCGTTTTCTAGATCAGGGCCTCTCCTTGTAAGTTAGATCTTTATAATTAATTTAAGACTTTTTTTTTTTAATAAATGAACCAAATCCTTGGAAAGTGGCAATAAATTTTAGAGCTGCACATTTTAACAAAAAAATGCACCATGGTTTACTAATTAATATATTTTTTTATTTTTAATTTGACACTAAAAATGAAGCAACACTGACTTGTTACTAAACCATTAAATAAAATATTTAATATTTAATAATTTGACATATTAAACGAGCATCAGAGCTCAACCAGCATAACACTCTTGAATGCTATGTTCACAGCAGTTACCATTGTATGTGTTAGCCTGTTAGTCAGCACATAAATGCGCCGGGCTTTGATCCTAAAACCATTGCCAGTTGGGCATGGTTGTGCCTGCCCACAACCCGCTAAGTGTCCTGGAATGCAACAAGTGGTTGGATCAGGGCCTTAGATCTGAAGATCCTGTAGGCTTGAAAGTGCTCATTTAAAATAATTCTCTGTTTTCCTTTCCATTAGAATTTGTTGCAGCTCTCTTTGAATGGGATGCTAGATCAAGCACCCTCAATGAGCTGTGATCGATGAGCATTTGGGTTTCTGGAAGGGTACAGTTTATCCTCTCAGAAGAAACTTCATGTTACTTTACCTTTTATGTTGTCTTTGTTTTGGGCATGAAAATGCAAGCCAAACACTTCTACATGTTTCTAGTTCTAACAAGAAGCATACCTGCCAAGATGCAAGCCATGGAGCTCCCCCCTGTTTGTAGACCTAACAGTTTAGCACCCTCACAGAGGCAGACAGAGATTTTATTGTGTCCAGATCCAGAAGGACAGTTCCTGGTCATGTATATACTCTCAACTTGAGCCTTTGCACCTGACTCTTCTGCTGCCCCCTGTGCCTGACTCATGCCTTGTCCTTCCCATCTCTATTTGCTCTCTGACCTTGGGCAATGTGCTTAGCTTGTAGGACTTGGGGGCTTGTCTTGGTAGGCATGCTGCCACCTGACCCTCTGCAGGCGACATTCACCTCTGATGGTGAGTGTGAAGGTTTTGGCTTTCTGTCTTGTCCACCAGCTCACCTTCTGCTCCAAGACTGTTCAGTTCTACAACCTCCCTCACCACAATGGACCAGCATCACTTTGAGCCATTTCAAACCAAGTAGCATCTGTAATATTTCCACTCCTGACTCCTTAAAGGTAGACTTCTGTCCCCAAACCAGACATTCCCAGAGCTAGTTTCTTTTTGCTCAGTTACAAAACTTGTCCTTCCTTACCACCACCTCGCTTGTGACACCAGCTTCTTATGCTCTTTAACACCTGATGTGGATTTCACCGGGGTCTTTTGTGAATGAAATGGGCCTAGAAACCCTGCAGGAAAATCAGATGAAAACAAATGTTCACAGCTCTCTAGAAATTGGTGTCAGCTCCCTGATACAGAGAGTTTTACAGCTCTATAAATCAGGCTGAAAATGTAACCAGAAGCCCTGTTAGCTTTCTGTTTCTTTTAGCACATCCGTTTCTTGTAAAATTCCGATTAGAGGGACTGGTCTCTGTAGAAATCATTCACTCTGAACCCAACAGGGCTATAAATCAAAGAGCTACAAATCACCACAATTTGCAGATTCTGGGTTTCATCATTTTATTGCTTTTGGAGAGGTTATGTAAATGTTTTTTGGATAATATTGACCTTTGCATCCTCTATCATATTCTGGGATGATGAAGAAAACTAAAACATTTCCTTAGAAGAAGATATCTCCTTCATATGACTAATGCAATATTGTTTCTGTGAAGGACTGAGGCAAAAGTTCTGTCTCAAATGAAGAGTCTCACCAAAAATCAGTGGAGACTACTGATAACTTGGGGCTACAAGAACAATTATTTTCTTATGAAAGCAGCAAAAACAGGGTAGCATTTTACAGGGGTTTCTGTGAAAAGGAAGAATGTGATTCAGTGATGATCATGTGAATAACACCATTTATGACTCCTCTGCTCTAGCCCTAGTTTGGCTACACAAAAATGATGATTATCTGGTCCAGCAGGCAAAGATTTCACCACCTCAGAATATGAATGACAAAACTGTTCCCAACAAATTTTGCCCTCCCAGTGACAGTAAATTCAATCTAGGCTAGCAAACTCCAGATAACCCTGAGATGAGTCACACCAGCCTGCTCAGCAATGCATCAGACCCAGAAGTGGCCACAGCCATGATTCAGCAATTGATGTACATAGGGAACCATTAGAGGAGTCCTTTTAGAGCAGGCTTTGTCATGAGTCAGGTTCTGTGCTACACTTTTACAGGCTCCAATCCTGGAATAATCCTTCATCTTTACCTACCTGCTTCCTGAGGCATCAAGTCCAATGTCATCAGCAGACTTGTAGGATCTTATTGCAACATATTTCTGCTTACCATCCGATTCACCTCATTATTCACCAAGTACTCTGAGCTTCTGCAACTCTCAAAGATTGGGGAAAAGACAACCATGTAAGGAAAATGGCTTTGGATGCAGGCTGAATGCATTGAATTCTTTCTTTTAGGTTTAATATCACTGTGACAGTGTGCCATTTACCAGGGCTAAATTGAATACATATGGATTTTTAATTGTACGAAGTTGCTGTCTGAGAACTCCATCATGAACCAGATGCCCACTGCACAAGATGTTATACAACACAGAAGAAAAAAATGATCCTCGCTATTGTAAGCTCATAAGTCTTTGCATTACCTTTGCCAGGACATATGTAAATTTAGATTTCTCTATATTATATGCCGATAATATATAATGAGAGGGGAAAATTTTCAAAGGTGCAGGTAAATGTGAGATTCTTGCTGACCCTCAGAGTGATTTTTAATGCTTATTTGCCTATGTTGACTTTGAAATGGGCCACTTAGGCACCTAAGTGATATGATTACTTTCTTCAAAAGCTCCTTTAAATACTGGAAAATACTCTCAGAATTGGAACCATGTCACTGTTTTTGTCATGATTACCTTTAAAATTCAATGTAGTGTTTAAACAGATCCTTCATTTCTATTCCATAGTCTATTAAGCCAATTAAATAAGAATTGAAGAGTCTTTTAAAGGCTGTTTTAAGATTCCTTTTTGAGCACTGTTGCATAGTGTTACAGTAGGACACCATCTGCTGTCCAAGCGGAGTCTGACTGCAGCTGCCTCGACAGCAGAATGCAATATCCTTGCTATAAAAATAATGTGACTTGTATTATCTTGGTAATGTTTTTATAAACTAAGCTCCCTGCCAAATTTGTGAGTCTGCATTGTATTTTCTTTAGGACATCTGATAGTATTCAGTCTTTTTTTATTCTTACGCAGTGGAAATACATAAAACAAAGCTCCTTCATGAAGTTAAGGTTTTCCTTTTTTTTTTTTTTTTTTTTTTTTGGTAAAATGGCATTCAGGTATTCAGAACATTGAGAAATAAATGCTGTAAATGCAAATAAATAGTAATACTTCAACCTTTGCATTTGCAAGGAAATTGGACAAACATTGCTGGTTAGTACTACTCCAAGACCAGCATGGTGCAGCCAGCTGCTTGCAAGCTATCTGTGACTACCCATGGACAATGCTCTTCCCATTCCTGTCTAGCTCTTGGGAAAGCATCCAAGGTTTTGTTGGTGTAGCTGAAAAATAATGTTAATTATAAAAGAGATTTCCACAGTATGGCCACTTTATAATTAGCTACTGAGATGAGACCATCTGCATATTTTTCATAGGCCTCTGAATCAATTGCCAACTGTTGATGACTTTGGGTTACTGTCAGCGTGGACCACTTCTGAAAAGACCTTGCTGAGGGAGACTCCATATTCAGTTACCTTTCTCTTGTTTGTACTAAATTAGTCTCAAGATGTGAAGGTAGATCATCAGGGAAAATTATGCCTGTTGGCAACCTGTAGAAATCATTGAGTTGCTTACATAATTGGTATTATCTGCATTCTTTCTCTTCATACTATTTTGTAGAGAGAGGGAAATTTTCTTTAAAATGGCTTCTGTTTTCTTTTGCTTCAGAGCTGAACCTCCTGCCACTCAAAATGATGAAATTATTCTGGAAGAAAAGTGTTGAATCACCATATTGTGTGACTAAATACAATGTAGTCAGGATACGGCTGTAACTGTTAAGCTGTTGCATGAGTCAGTATAGAAAAACTGTGACCAGGAGTTAAAATGAGATATACAGGTAAAAAAAAAAATTGTTAGTCTACACTGTATGTAGACTAAAGGCCTCAGAAGTTTCCATAGGGGAACAGAGCCTTTAAATTCCTCTCTTAGGGCTATGTAATTAGAGTTTTGGGTTAGCCGAAGTGGCAAGTTAGGAATAAAATCACCTTTAATTCCTCAGCTAAGCCTAGGGCAATTAGTAAATGATTTCTATGCTACCCTCTAGAGGGTCCTATATTTCCCTAGTGCCTGCATAGGAAACCTCAGTTTGATGACTCAGTGGAGATGAATCTAGGTCTCAGTGCGCAGTACACATAGACACATCTGAGTTCCTAAGAAGCTATAGCAAATTAGTATTCTTGCTCAGTTTTGAGAATCATTTAGACATTATCTACCAACAAAACACTTACTGTTATAGGACAAAAGCTTTGGCCTGTGTACTTGTCACCTCTTCTCTCTTCCGTCTTTCAGCCTGGCTCTAGCAAGAGTGTCACATACAAAACCTGATAAGGAGCAGTAGTTTATCAGAACTAAGCGTTTTCATCTTCAGTCCCTTTAGTGCTGGTCCAGGAAAATGCCTGCAAGAAAAATTGTACATACTTAAGGGTTTTCCATGTAATTTCTTCATATATTTGGAAAATTTATAAGAATTAAATCAAAGGCAAGGTTGAAATCACTCAAGAAATAATTATACTAAAACATGAAGAAAAATTTTAGAAGTTAGGAAGAAAGAATGGAAAATTTTGTAGAAAATTTGCTGCATTTTTCTTTAGGAATGCATATTAATAAGTTTGGTATCATTATTGCCACTAAGCAATTTCCATATTTTTTGTGGATAAGCTGAGATAGATGGATAATGATCATAAGGTCCATTAAAACAATGCCCAGATATGCTTTTTGTATAGAATCAGTTTCTCTTCATTCAATGCTCACTGCTGTGGAAGATGAAATTGATAAGTAACTCTGTTAGGAAGTTAAAGATCATATACCACTACTCCACTGGCAACAGAGAAATTCTGTGAAGGAGATTAAGGTCAGTTCTGTAGCACATAGTTCAACAAAACAATGAGATTCTTCTAATTTTTTCACCACTTGCTCAATTTCACCACTTAGATCATTGTTCCTAGTACCCAAGTATTAACAGATGGCTTTCTGCCTGATGGATTATCCTGATGTTATATCTGTGTTATATTTACAGACCTGGATGCAATGGACCCATGCATAAGCTTTCTGCATAAGTCATTTGCCATCTGCCTGCCATTCCCAGTCTTGAGTTAAGGCTGCTAGAAAACATGCTATAGGTCTCAAACATGTCAAAGGTTCCTCAGCAAGGAAGAAAAGAAATGTTTCTCTGCCTGCTGTGGGTAAAATCAGAAATGATGAGCTGAAATTGCCCAAGAGACATTTAGGTGTGATATTGGGAAAAAAATGTCCAATGGAAGAAAGACAGAAATAAATCACTAAGGAAACAGTGCAGTGTCCATAATAAGAAATTCTTTAAGGATGCAGAATAACATCTGTCACGAATAGGTTATAATCTGATCCTACCTTTGAAATGGGAAGAGGAGAGTGAACTAAAGGTCTTTTTAAGGTCCTTTTCATTTTTGTTGGTTCTATGATCTTTGCTGTTGTTATTATTATTATTAAATTAGCTGTTGTTCCTGCAGCTTCCCCTGCCCTGCTTTGGGCCCACTGTACCTGAAGGTGCCCTTGCAGCTGGCAGCCCAGAGGACTGCCACCCTCTCGTCTTCATTGCACAGTGAGCAAGCCGTGGTGTCATGAGGACAGCTGGAGCACACTCCTGGCTGCCTCCCAAGCCCTTGTGGAGCCAGGCAGGTGGGTAACATACAAAGGCAGCATAAACACGGTTGCTTTTTGCTCCTGCTTCTCTGTTGGTCTCCTCACACTGGATTTCCATGCCCCCCCAGTTGAGTGCTCCAGGAGAGAGTCAAGCCAAGGGCTTGTTAGCAGAGGATAACTTTGCCTGTTACCCCTGTGTCATGGCTCCAGCAGGGCTGTATCATTAGAGTACCATCTGGGGATACTCTAGTTCTGTGATAAGAGTTGGTTTCATTTGGCTTACTTTAAATGTCATTAAAAAATGACAAAGGGCTCAGTGTTGGTTGGAACATAGCCAGGGGCCTGTGTGGGTCCAGCCACTACCATGGGACTCTAATCATGTCTCGTGGCCTTCAGAATTTTGCGTCTGATTTCCCTTTTTACTGTTGGTCGATGGCAGCTTTCAGCACACGGCCCTGAGCTTGCCCACTAGTTCACAAAGCATAAAATAACATGGCCTACCCTGCGAAAAAAAAAAAAAAAATCCTTGCACAATAAAGTGAAATACTACAGTACTACAGTAAATGACCATATCAGATAATATTATTTGTCTTTCTTCTATAGCTCCTGTTGTGCCACTCTCCCCGGCAGCAAGCCCCCCCTTTAGGGCTCGTCATTGCCCTACTTCTGCACATCCAGTCTGTTAGAGGTATCCTTAGACCAGGAGTGATCACCATTTTGTGTTCCTCAGGGATTCATGTCAGCTGGCTGCTGGTTGCTTTCACCTTGTCCTGCTCTCTGCTTCTACTTGCCTTATCACTGTGGCTTCTTTTCTACAGCTGCTTATTTTGAAGATTTAACTGGAAATTATGTGGCACATTAACTTCACATTAACACTCTGTGCAGGGATCAATTTTGTTCAGGTCAAGCGATGAATTCAAGTGAAGTTCATGGGAATTGGAACCAAGTTATCTTTTATGATTGTTCACTAAATATGTATAATCCTGAGAAACACTCCCTAAGCTAGAGGGATTCACTTCCTAATGAAAGATGTGGTCACTTTGTGCCTGGGGATGAGAAACAGCCATAATGTTTTCACTGCAGGCTGCTGTCAGCATGACGGGGTAAAGAGACAGAGTCCCCAGCATGGTAGCACTGCCACTACCATATGTGTGCACACAGGATGGGGATTTGCTGTCCCAGACCAATGGGATTTTGGTCAGAATAGCTGTATGCACAGTGGGGTAGGGCATTCTGAGGGTAGTGTATCAGCAATCCTGTGCTGATAAAGAGGTTCTGGACAAAGCCATAAACAGAAATAAAATACATCACTGCTCACCACTTCTTTCCTTCAGTCAAATAAACAAGTTTATGCCTCAGCTACTAACTCACCATTGAATTTATCCAGAGATCTAAACAAAACCATACTAACTTGACACCACAAGACTACTTTCAAGCAAAACAATCCCTACAGATATGACTTGAAGATAGAATTAATTCATTTAAATATGAGACCTTTATTATATAGCAGTTGTTTCAACATAGAAATATAATGTATTTTGATACATTAATCTCAGATTATCAACATAGTTCATACATAGTCTATATGTTTGTGACTGAATGTTCCCTGTTCTGTACTTTATAAACCTCTCTCCAAAGAGATGCAATGTAGTAAGACAAGTAGCAGTTCACCTCTACTAAGGAAGCTCTGTATTTCCAATGCTGTAAAACAAATCATTGCCATTAATCTGAGCCATATCCCTGTTACCTTCCCTGATGGCAAATCCTGCAGATGAGAGAGAGGAATAATACGTGAAACATGAGTGGTCACAGTTAGGGTTCAGAAGGGTAAGCTTTCCTCCATCTTCAGCATGCACACACTTGACCACACAGCGCCTGGACACATAGCTCAGGCCCCCCACCTGGATTTGTTACGATCAAGAAGCATATGCATAGTTCAGAACCAACCTACTCATTTTCTGCAGCATCCAGTATAGGTTATGTGAAATATTAAAATATGTAATTTTAAATGCATGCCCTTTATTGCTTTATAACTAAGAAACCAGATCTTTTCCCACTGACTTTCCATGCAACTTTTCCCTGTTCTCATATCCCTTGTGGCTCTTAAGTGAGCAAAGGCACCAGTATTAAAGTTTATAAGATATTTATATAAATCATATGGTTGGTGAGTATTAAATCTGATTTTTCTCAATAACCCGAGGGGGAATATTAAAATATTAAAATTGTTTGAATTTTTAAAACACAAATGGGGTTTTGAATAGTTTAGTCTGAAGCCTCGACTCTTGTATGCAAATATATACTGGCTGAAGATAGAGTCTTTGAAGTTTTAATCTTGTTATTCACATCTAGCAAGACAAATGGCAGGCTTAATAGAAAGTCTGTTCTGAAAAATTGCAAACAGAGAATTGTGGAAAAAATTAGTTTTATCTTCAGTTTTCATCCCATGATTTATATCTTTAGAAGGGTATATCTCTTGTTCTAAATTGCTGATGTCATAATGCAAAAATTCTCAGATTTGCCTCATGGTATTGCAAACTTAAGAACCATCTTTGCTTCTGTATTTCAATATATTTGATTGTGAACACTTTGAAACCTTACATCACTTTCTTGTACCAGAAAACTTCCTCTCAGCCTCTTAATGCACTTTTCAGGAATTCCTTTTGGTTCCATATTCTGTCTTTGTCATCAAGCATGCGCTAAATACAACACTTAGAGGTGTGGATCAGTGCAGCGTAGTCTCCCAATTCTAGTTAATACATAAACACCATTTGCCTTGATGAGGATGGTTCTGAGATGTGCAAGGATATGTGTAGAATAGCTAGAGAAGAGGTAGCCATGTAGTCAAAAAGGATATTTGCTTTAGGCTCTGATTAAGTCAATTCTTGGGACAGAGTTGTGCTTGCAAACCCACGATTACTGTAAGGCTGAGTTTTCTCAAAAAAGGGATATATTTGCATAATGTTTGGACCATCTTATTGCCTGACTTGTGGGTAGATGTGCATATGGATAAGTAAAATAAATTGCAACAGAAATGTACTATGAGAAACAAAGTTGTATTTTTGCAGAACTAATTTTCTGTATTTAAAGGTAGTTGTGTAGTCATAACAAGGAGAAATGCTAAGTAGATAAGTAGACAGTAGAAAGACTCACTGTTCCAAAATAAGGTAGAAGCTTGAGAAAAACAGGATGAGCAGTGTGAGAACAGTAAAACAAAGATCACAAGTTCTCAAAACATAAGAAAGGAGAAATTAAAGGGTAGAAAAAAGAAAAATTGTCCATATACGGTATAGAGGAGCATCAAGTAGCTTGTGAACCTGTAGTACTCAGCCAATGAGGAAACAGGGGAGGTGATCAGGCATTGAGTAATACGGAAAAGAAGGTTATGATTTGTTTTCTAAAATGTGCTCCTGATTGACAGGATGCCCGCCATTGCAATTGCAAATAAAACAGATTCACATAAGAAACTGTTTGAAGAAAATTATTTGAGATTTTTCTCACATGTACTTAGACACTATACCAGTAATTTTTCCATCGCTGAGAAATCAACGTATAGGCCCAGGTATCTGTGCAAAGAATCAGAGAAACTGCTGTGTGAAAAGAACACTGAAATCAAAAGAAACAGGAAATGATATACTGACAAAAGTGATGTTTTTGTTATTGTTAGATGTTTTAATCTTTGTACTTCAGGCTTCATTTCATACTTCATATGGCAAAATGAAAAACAAACATATATTGAATGAAAGAGGAGAACTGTGTTCTTTGACTTTTGAGCTGCTACATAAATGAGTTCCTATTATAGTTTCTAAGAACTATGTTTTCTGGAATGTAGCAAATCCCAACAAGTAAACAAATGCATTTTAAATCTAATCATTGCAAGATTATTCCTGATATTTATAATATCCTGGCCTTTAAGTTTTCTGCTAGAATAGCTGCAGGGCTTTTGGGTGTGATGGGTAGTTCTTAATCGAATGGTTGAAAAACTCCCAAGAAGTGATTTGTCATCTTAGACAAGAGACTTTTTAAAATAACCCCATGGCACATGAAATAAGGCTTAAATGCCATTATGATAAAAACCACTTAAGCTACTGATAATCATCCTATGTGTATTTGCACTCCGCATGTTTACATAAAAGACAGATCTGGACATGCTTCAATTACCTTTTCAGCATAGTTCTGAATACAGTTAATGCTATGAAAAATGTTATATATGTAAATTACAAAAACCAGTGTAAATGAAAAGGGTATGTCCATCATCGTTATTGTTGGCCCTTGCCAAAAAGGCATCTTGTTAAAGTAGATAATTGACTTTTTAAAATTAGAGGTGAAAGAAGCCTATTAGATCATTTTGTTAACCATGACAAACTGGGCATGCTGCCATTATATTTTGTCTAGAAGGAAATGTTAATTCACTGATTCATAACAGATACCCTTTTTCAGCCTTAAATGGTATTCTTTTCTATTCAATAATGCTGATGAGTTCTTTGTCTGAGGTGATCACCTGTGAGATGTTCTCAAGAAGTAGTCTTACCCTTAATTATCATTATAGGTCTACCTATATTGCCTTTTAATCATGATTCTGGTCTTCGGGCTGATGAAAAAGAAAGATCTTGCACAGAAATAATTTGGCTCCCAGGGGCCCAAATAAAACTGGGTTTGGCTTCAACCTTCCAATGTAATGCTGAAACACCACTCACTAAATTGCTCTGTTCTGCAGTGTCATTAATGAATCTTTACTGACCTTCACTGAAGAGTCAACAAGATCAATTCAGGTGCAGAGAATCTCCATGGAGGTCTTCAGAGACCTCTCCCCATTGGCTGTATGGAGGATGTAAGTCTTTACTCTACAAAAACTGTTAAAACCTACTTCTTCATCCCCAAGAAACACCTAAAATTTAAGTCTATATGAACCTAAATAGGTTTGTTTTCTGCCATATTTAAACTTGTTTTACCAAATGGAAAACAAAAGAATGAACTTAACACAATTATGTCCTAAAAATTTCGTTATACAAAGTCTGCATTCACTTTAGACCTGGGCAGCCAGGCTTTGTTCTTGTTTGTAGTACTGTAAGTCCAGATCTTCTTTCCAATGGAAGAAGAGTTTGCTGACTCACATTATTTTTAGAGACTCGTATCCAGTGATTTCAAAGTATCAAAGTAATGGGATCTGAATTGGGGTCAAAAGATGGGAGTACTCAATGTGTTTGTCATTTACTTGAATGTTCTGTAATAAGCAGGCATAATTAAATGATTATAGTCCGTGCAAGTTCAGATATTTCATTTTCTAGTGAAACAAATGCAGTCTTTTTTCAGCTCACAGTGTCTGAAACAATGTACTACTTCCATTAGATAAATTCTTGCAAAGCATGAAGGCTATGTGTTGCATGCCCAAGGAGTGCATTGAAGAACAGTTAGGAGGCAAAGTCACCTGGGATAGCCATGGGGACTAGGAGAGATGGAGGGAACCTGCTGTATTTTGTCCACAGTATTTGATAGAAAGAGTCTTGTCTATCCCTCACACTGTACCTGAGAGCGCTAGCACAGCCATACCAGGGAGCATATTGGTAAGTGACATGGACAAACAGTATTCTAGTTTCATTCTAGTTTCTAGGACCTGCTTTATTAGACAGCATAGAAATAGCTCTTTCGACAAATGCTTTAGTGACGTGTTCATCTTATGAAAAAAGTGGTTGTGTTTTCCCATCCTTCACATTTCTTTGCAGGATAATGCATAGATGATATGTCTGGCTGTGGTGGTTGGACAAGAGATGATGTATAGAGTCCTAGAAACAACACTGTGGCTTGTTGTCTCAATGCTTTACGATTCTCATTCAAAAGAGGATAGACTATCAGTAGCATATTGTGAAGAGACCCAAACATGGGTATTTTCTGTGACACTCTTTGGCCTGTGCAGGACATCAGACTTATCGTAATGTTTTCTTCACAATCTTTCTGCCAGGGATTCTAATTTTAACTGGAATTGTCCTATCTGTATGCAGAAAAGAACATTAGTGGATTAAGAAGTTAGTCGTACACCTTATAATAACTTCCTCAAAAAATAGCAGACACTATTTCAGTCTAGTTTTTCCTTTATTAGAAAACATTAACTTGTAGCTAGCTTTCCAGGTCATTATGTGTTCAAGCAGACAAGATATAGAATAGAGTACCATTACGAGCACTGACATAATTATATCAACATTAATAAATATGTGAACAATTAAATATTTGTTTATTTATATATATATATTTATTAGAATCTGCAGAAACTATTTCTGAATAAGAAAGATTGAATCATTTTAGGCTTTTCTGTGATTTGGTTGTGTTAATTGACATCTATGTCAATGTAGCTCTTGACTTCTCTTGATTATTATATATTCAAGCTTGTCACCATCAAAAGAATAAACAAGTGACCCAATTCAGCTTGGTCTTCACCTTTCACCCACGTAAAATTTCAAAAGGAGACTCATTGTTTTTGTATGTGTTGTAACCCTGTAATTATGAAGAAATTCAGTAGCAAATTACTTCCATGGCTTTTCTCCTCCATTCTCAGCAGTTGAAAGCATTCTTTCAAGAGACATTAACTAGTCTCAATTTTCCTGTTCTTCAGAAAATAGCATACTAACAAAAATATACACTAAATATTTTCCTAAGATAGAAAAACTAGTAAAGTCAGTGGAAATAAATCATTGTCCATTATCAGTTACATTTTGACATGCATTCCTTTTATTGCTCAACATCTCATTAATGCTGGAAAGGTACACACAGGGGAGCACCTCATAACTTTGAAGAAGTTCCTGCATGCACAAAATGTGTTCGACTATGTAATATTTTCTTCTATATTTCTAGAGTTGGGCAGTCATAGAGTCATAGGTTGTTATTATTGTCAAAGTACAGAAAAATAATGGGAAAAATAATGGAACAAGTTACAGAACATGTCAACATATGTCCTGTGAACTAAGTAATGTGATAAAAAGCTAGTAGTTGGATGTCAGACTTTACTGTATTTTATCAACCACCAAAAGAAATTAGGGCAGATAATAGGTTAGGAAATATTGTCAGTGGATATGTCTTTTACAACATGGTTGTTTCTGTAATATGTGTAGAGAAGGCTTTTGTCCAGCCTCTGGACAAAAATACAGCTAAACCATGTAACGAACTCATGTGGTATTTGTCATCTAGCTAAGCATCAAGTACCTGAGTTTTGAATGTGTAATCAGTATGACATTTTGGAAGGCTGCTTTTATTTGCAACATGTTTCCTAAGCTTGCCAGCTCTGAAGATAAAAGACAACCCAACAGTACTTTAGATAATGAGATCTTTGATCTGAAAATATATTAAAAAACTTTTTTCTGCCCAGTACATTTTCAGTAAATTTGCCTGAATGCCATAAAATGTATGTTTAAGAAACAGGATTCAAGCAACTCCTTTGAGTGCCTGGTTTGTTAATAACAACCTATTTCCACTGACAAAGTGCAAGTGAGTTAGTCAGATTCTGGAAAGTTGATGCTAATGTTCTTTTCACCAGACCATGATTTCAAGCTATTTTACAATGGGGCAATCAGAATAATCTAGAGTCCGACACTTTCAGTGGGTTGGTTAGGCCTAGAAATACCATGCTAGAGACTTTGTTTTAGAGTTCTCTGTACATCTCTGAAATAACATCTTTGAAGTCAAAGAAATAACATGGGAAGAGAGAAACGGCATAAACAAAGTCTATTGCACCATATTGAATAGGCTGTGTATCATATTTTGTTAAGTTAACATTACTGTATTTCCTTTCTCTGGAAGACCTTGATTAACTATAGATTTTAGCAAAGCTGGGCGTTGTCTTAGGTAACACAGCTGAGGTTTAAAATTCTTATTCTACTACTGCCAAAAGGAGCTGTTTTAAAAAGAGAAAGATTTTAAGTAATTGCTTTGTGATGAGACATAATAATATGATTATGGAATATGGGTAGCTGGGTGTGTACAGCATAGCCTTTTTAATACTGACTAATTATACTCCATGTGAAAACAACAGAAGGAGTATTTGGATTAATCTATGTTGTTATACTTTTCATTTCTTTGTGATGCCTTGTATTGTCTTCATATGGTCATGAAAAAAATAAATAAAACAAAACAAAACC